ATTATAAGTAAAAGTAACAAGTACTGCTTAATAAATGCCAACTATGAAACACTATAACAAATAAACTTAATAACAAATACTGATTGTTCTGTGAATAAGGATAATGTAATACAAACATTTAAGGATTATCAAACGCAATTTTAAATATCCATATATGTTTGGATATTTAATTATAAAATTAAAAAAAAAATAAAATTGTAGACAGAAACTTTACAGCATATATTTTTTATTTAATGTTGGTAAAGGATGTTCTAATAACTTGGACCGATTTTAAATGTGAATTAAGTTTAAGCGTCTAATGATTTTTTTTCTTTCAGATTTAACGGACATTTGGGTGATATTATTTTTCACATATAATTGCCATGTCTTAAATAACATGCTCCAATAGAGAAATAAATAAATTTTAACCAACAACACTGATTTATTTACTGCTGACTTTGATCCGTCTTAACGAAACACCCTTATATATAATCCGTTTTAATGAGACACCTTTATATATAATCCGTTTTAATGAAACACCTTTCTATATAATCCATCTTAATGAAACAATCTTTATACGTTTCTGGACTTCTTATAAATATAATCCATTTCTTTTTCTATGTGTCGTGTCTCTTCAGAACGCTGCCGATTATAGTTCTCCACAAGTTCTTATCCTTTGTAGCTCTTTGTAAATTATATCTTTTTGTTATCTCTCCCAAACCTTGTTCTGCCATGCGGTTACACAAGCTCGTTAGATAGATATCTTGTTTTCCTCTGTCCTTCTTGCCTTCAATATGTCTTGTGGGTATTTAATTTTCCAAGCCCTCTTTTCATATTACGCGCCCTAGAAATTTCAACTGTTTCTTCCTGATGTTAAATATAAATGTCCTATTTTGTTTCCATCATCTCTAAAATCTCGTCATTGCTCACATGTTCATGGTATTCTTAGCATCCTTCTGGAGAACTATATTTCTGTTGCTTCAAGTCTTTTCTTTTTCATCTCTGAAGATATTGTCTAGCATTCAATGCAATATAGAAGAACTGGTATTACGTAATAGTTTAATACGCTTTCACGTGTTTATGCATTTAAGCAACAAGAATTCATCCTAACGACTTTTGGTAAATTCAATCGATAAAGTCAGTCTGTTTAATTTTTTCTGCTGTATTTTTCCAGCATCTAATTCGAAAATTGTAAAACTGCAATAAAAAAATGAAGTAAACAAACACAACGAGTTGAATTGAACACACGAACATACATACACACAGATATATATATATATATATATATATATATATATATATATATATATATATTTATTATAACAGATTCATAATAAAAACATATTACATCGCTACACAAAAGCTTTCATGCTTCAATATTATAATTGCATTTCCTCAGGCGATGGTTGGTGCTAAAAATGATTTTTTTATAGAAATTTAAAAACAAAACGTTATCTCTCTCTTTTCAGAAGTTAAATCGGGGGTGAGGCGCATAAGGTCAGAATTGAAAATATACTTGAGGGTATGTCTCGATCTAATGCTAAATAGAAAAATAAGCTCAGAGGGGGACGGTAGGTGAGTTTTTCCATGTCACGATGAACTGGCACGTATTCCAATGATTGTGAAAAACATGGCAGCGACAAATGTATACTGGATGTAGCCAAATATGATATTCCCATTTATTGAAGTAGTCTTGGAGATTAATCAGACATAAAGTTATCAAAAACAAATTTATATATATATATATATATATATATATATATATATATATATATATATATACATATATATTTCAGGAAGAAGCTTAAAGGGGCTTGGCAACTGGTGAGAAAAATGATTTTTGCTACGAAGTGTGGATTTTTACTCCATGTGTTTTTTCTCTTATCTGGATATATATATTGGGTTGGTGCATAATTATCAGGCGTTTTTTAAACAATATTTATTATGAAAAATGAAACACAACAATACCATTTTTAAATGATTATTACGGAGTGTATGATTATCGACACGCATTTTTATAATCTGAAAATAAAATAATATTTTTTTATTAAAATAGTAAACAAAACAGCAATTTTTGGTAACAACTAATTCGCCTACAAAAACGCCTGATAATTAAGCACCAACCCAATATATATATATATATATGTATACACACACACACACACACACGCACACACACATATATATATATATATATATATATATATATATATATATATAGAGAGAGAGAGAGATAGATAGATAGATAGATAGATAGATAGATAGATAGATAGATAGATAGATGTGAGTTTGTGACCCTGGGTTCCACGCTATCTGCGATCGTCTGACGATCGCAAATAGCGTAAATCCAAAGGTCGCAACCTCACGTCGATCCAACTAAATATGTTAGCTCTATCGATGATATTGAGCGCTTTCCAATAAGTACCGCGCATATATAATATATAAAAAATTGCATATATATATATATATATATATTTATATATATATATTTATACACAACTTACATATATATATTATATTTATATACATGCACAACTTAAATATATATATATATGTGTGTGTGTGTGTGTGCGTGTGTGTGTGTGTGTGTGTGTGTTTGGCTAAAATTTGCTATGCTTATGAGAAAATAGTGTTCAGTAGATAGACCGTGTAAACAACGGAATGAAAACTGCATAGTGATTCAGTTTCACGCCGAAAACAATCTTCAGACAATGCAGTGTTGATTCCTATGTCCACACGTCTACTCTCTCTCTCTCTCTCTCTCTCTCTCTCTATATATATATATATATATATATATATATATATATATATATCCATTTACATATAGTATGTGTGCTTTTACAAGTATTAAGATGCTGGTGTCTTTGCTGAAAGCATTCTTGGAACCCATTTTACAGGAATATCATTCAGTAACGTGTTGCTGGATGTCAGGGATGTCAGCAAATCTTTGTCAATTTTGGAAACAGCCATGGAGGCTTAATCTTGTAAATGAGGTCGATGGCCCAGTTTTGCATTGGATTTCTTAACCACAATTTCGCAAATTCTTTACGCATTAATTTTCTTATTTCCAGCACCCCTTTTAGAATCTGCCACCCTGTTTTCCTGTTATGTAGCAAGGCGATAATGTCTCTAGTACGCAAGGGGTTACGAGCAATGAAAGAGAATGGGAAGACTTCAGTGAGAAGTAAGGAGAAAGGATCATAAAAGAATAGGGTTCAGGAAAACAGAAAATTGCAATTGGCGTTGCATTTAAATTTTTACAGATTGTAGGTGGCAGGGAAATTAGAAATCGGAAGGGAGTTTTACGGGTGAGAAGTGCAAGAAAAGAAACTATTAGAATAGAACAGACGGTTGCATCTATGTAATCAACAGTAAAACGGCGAGACCTAATTGACAATCTAGTAGAGCGTTTAAATACTTGCAGTCGTGGCATCAAGACGAAAAGCTGATGAGAACAATTGTCATGAAAATATTTGTAAAAAAGACAGGGGGAAGCCACGTCACGTCGGTAAGAAAGTGACTGAAATTGAGGTGCCAGATCAGGATCGATAACATTACAGACACTTCTTTGAATTTTGTCTAGAATCTAGAGATTATATTAGGAGCACCAGACCAGATATGGCATCAATATTTAATGCACGGAAAAATGGTTGATCAATTCTTTGTGTATTTAGCCACCTAACTCTTACGCCATCTTGCATATATTCATGGCTTTCCTTGAGCTGTTTGGGCCACTTAAAATCACTTTTTCTTCATAGCATCTTCACCATAGATTATTTTAATAGGATTAATGTTTCACTGACATTTGACCAATCTGCACACAAACTTTTATGTTAATCTGCATCCCATATTTATTTCATTTTTTAAAAATAATAACATAATAATAATAATATAACATGAATACGTACAATTTCCTCTACTGCTCGACAAGGAATGCTTAATTTATTCTAGGTCTGTGCATGCTCGAATATAAATGCTTCCCTGTCTCCTTATTCAGACGATACACCGCGGTCATTCCACGAACGAAATTGCCACAGCTCGTACATTAGTTGGAGGCATAAATTTCCAATGTTCGAAAAACCTTAGAAGTGTCGACTCTTTATTGCCTTATTACTCTTTTGCTGCTTGTGAAATCAGTCAGGTGTCGTACGCCGTTTACAAACTGTGAGAAACAATGATAAAAATATTAAAATTGTCTGACATGAACTTAACGAGACACTGTAAGTATCACAAGCATAATAAGGATACTCGTTCAGATAGAAAGGTGTCTAATAATGATAATTCCTCACCTCGAACATTCCGGCATTATTAACTTGAATTAATTATTTGATTTATTATAAACTATTTGGGGGTCTATTGATTTTGATAGCATTATACGTTATTATGATAAACGGTTTCCTCTATATTGGAATCAAAATGTCAGGAAATGAATTAAAATGCTAATCGTAAAACAAATTGTTAAAATCACCGGTTGTTAGAATGACATAATTTGAAAGTCTTCCGTATTCTAATGAGTCTAAGAAAATTATTCGACTCAAATATTTTCATGATTTAATTGCTTTGTTTTTTTAATCATCTATAAAAAAAAAAAATAATTTGAATGTTTTCAATTTTTATAATGACGATAATTTTTAGCATCGCGTTCAGATTGGCCTTTATATTTTAATTTCTTGCCGGAAACCTGTATTTATTTCGACATTTCATTTTCGTCTGAACCAGAAATGTCTGACAAATTGGTGTCATTTTTTAAAATTTTACATTTAATCTCTCTTTTGTAGTTGATATTTTACAAAACGTTTCTGTTTACCTTTTAAAGGTGTTTATTATTTGGACGTGAAAGTAGCTGCGTTTGAATATATGTTATCCTCCTTGTCTTTCTATTTCGATATATATCTTCCTCTCTATGTATCTTTCTCTCTCTCTCTATATATATATATTTCTGTTTTTCTTTATTTTGTTCTTTATTTCTTGCTTTCACCCTCTCTTTCTTTTTTCCCTATTTCTTTTTTATTTCTTTTCCTATGTATTTTCCTTTTTTTTCTCACCCTCTCTTTCTCTTTCTTTCACTTTCTTTTTTTAGTTTATTTTTCTATTCTTCCCTATTTCTTTTTGTTCTTCTCTCTCTCTTTAATTCTCCCTCCCTCTCTCGTTTTCCCTCTTTTTTCTTCGTTATTTTTCTTTCTTTCTTTCTTTCTTTTTTTCTTTCTTTCTTTCTTTCTTTCTTTCTTTCTTTCTTTCTTTCTTTCTTTCTTTCGTACTTTATGCCTTTAATTCTCTATCTTTCTCTCTTTCTTTATCTATTTCTTTATTTTTTCTTCTATACTTTAATTTTCTTTCCTCTTCTATCTTTCTACTTCTGTCTTTCCCTAGGCCTCTTTCACTCTCTTTTCTCTTTGTTTTCTTCTCTCTCTCTCTCTGTGTGTGTGTGTGTGTGTGTGTGTATACACGCATGCATGTATATCTTTCTCTATATATCTCTTTATCTTTCTGTCTATATTTCTTTCTTTATTTATTTCCTTCCTTTATTTCTTTCTCTTTCTCTCTTACTCTGTCTTCCTCTCTTCCTCCCTTTCTTACTGTATCTATTTCTTTCTTCTTTATTCCCTATTTTTTTTTTGTCTTTCTCCCCCTCTTTCTCCCCATCTCTTTCCCCCTCTTCTTTATCTTTTTCTTTCTTTCTTTCTTTCTTTCTTTCTTTCTTTCTTTCTTTCTTTCTTTCTTTCTTTCTTTCTATTAGCGTTTCTACCTTACCTTTCTTACTCTTGTTGTTCTTCATTTTTCTTTTCATCATACAACTATTGATATTTTTTCTCGCAGAATCATCATCATCAACATAATCATTATCATCATCATTATCATCAAGTGATGACAAACACAATCAACCCGTTTCCTAGTCTTTTCACTGTCAAAAGCATCTTCACCGTTATCAGCGCGGAAAGTGGTATTGGTAAGCACTATTCAATTTCCCATCGAGTTTGTTGAGTTCCTTCGGCAGTAATGCCCTTGAGGAAGCTATGAGTTCATCTCTTCCACTTACCAACAAGCTATGGGTTAAATAGCAAGGTAGACTTGACTCTCAAGCCTTGGATGGTAGCTAGTCGTGAAGAAGGATAACTCAAAATTCAAAACAACGAGTAAAGCAAGAGGAATATTTCAAAAGAAGTTCTGGCATTTCATAAATAATAAAAAAAAAGAAATCAGTGGAGAGCCATGACCACCTGTTCGCTGAAAGGCTGTGATATTTAAACGTAGTTCATGTATTCATCATCTTTATGTTCACTTAGATTCTTGTCAGACATCAATTTAGGATCGGGAATTTTTAAAATTCCTGTGAGTTAACTGTATCTGAACCTGGTATATATAGGCAAGGTTTCGTTTTTTTTTAACTTTATCCACTGACTATACCACTACTCCTTCGGCTTAGTTTCGGTTATAAATAGAAAATATAAACATTCCGAGCAACGGGAAAACAATTCGAAAGTAAAACACGGAATTCTGTCACTTTTAACATAAAATCTGTTTGAACAATTTCCATCAATCAATGAAGGAAAGGGATTGTCAATGGTCAAGAATGACTGACAGAACGACGTTATTATCTGCATATTAATAATAATAATTATTATCTGCATATTAATAATAATTATTATTTTTTCTGCACGATGCATTTCTAGTCTCGGTAATATAGGATGAGTATATTTGAAGGCGTATTGGGATAACCAAAGTTGCCTTCCAAAAGCTAAACAGTGTATTAAGAAACAGGAAAATGTTGTTAGAAACAAAGAAAAGACTACTGAACTATTATGTAGTATCAGTCCTCCTATATGACAATCTCTGCAGAAATGAAGGAGAGACTTAAAGCAACAGAAATGCGGTTCTACAGAAGGATGCTGAGGATGCATCTGGTATTTCTAGTCTATCTAAATACTGATCAGATTCGACGTTGCTTAACTTGGGTGATCGGACGAGAACTGGTAATTCGACGGGATATATCTGTAAGCCTTCCGATGGGGAATCATGTATATCCAAACTTACAGCACCTGGCACCCATATAGGTCTTGATCAGGCCCGACGTGGATTAACTTCGGTGATCGTACTGTATTCGGTGTTCCAATGTGATATGACTGTCAGCCATCTGGAATTAGTTCAAATCAGAAGCTACGAGAGTCATATCTCTAGTTGTTGGTGATGATGTTTTTTATCATCAGTAGCAACAATAATATTTCGAGTAGAAATAAGAAATTGAAGGGCAAATGCAAAGACGAGTAAGAATCTTTTGTGAAAATCTGTTACAAGAAAGCCATTAATTCTGTTATGCTGCTGGCAGAATATTGATAAGTTTAAGTGATCCATTCACTAAGGTCATAATCGTGTCGATTCTGAGGGTTGGATGACTAAACGAACGAAAATGATTTTCAATCAAAATATAATCAATCAAGAGTTACAAACGCTCACGCATTTCTCGCTCTTTCTCGCTCTTTCTCGCTCTTTCTCGCTTTCTTTTTTCTTGCAAATTCTCGCTTTCCTTTTTATCGCTCTTTCTTGTTTTCTTTTTTCATCGCTCTTTCTCGTTTACTTTTTTCTCGCTCTTTCTCGTTTTCTTTTTCTTCTCTCGTTCTTTCTTCTCGCACTTTCTCGTTTCCTTTTCCCCTCTCGTTCTTTTTTCTTTTCACTTTCTCGTTTCCATTTTTTTTATCGCTCATTCTCACTTTCTTTTTCTCTCGCTCGTTCTCGTTTTCTTTTTTTCTCGCTCTTCCTCGTTTTCTTTTTCTAATCTCGTTCTCGTTTTTTTTTTCCTCTCTCGTTCTCGTTTTCTTTTTCCAATCTCGTTCACGTTTTCTTTTTTCTCGCTCTTTCTCGTTTTCTTTTTCCAATCTCGTTCTCATTTTCTTTTTCTAATCTCGTTCTCGTTTTCTTTTTCCTCGCTCTTCCTCGTTTTCTTTTTCCTCTCTCGTTCTCGTTTTCTTTTTTCTCGCAATGTCTCAATTCCTTTTTTCTCGCTCTTTCTCGTTTCCTTTTTTCCTCGTTCTTTTTTCTCTCACTTTCTCGTTTCCTTTTTCCTCTATCGTTCTTTTTTCTCGTACTTTCTCGTTTCCTTTTTTCTCGCTCTTTTCCGTTTTCTTTTTTCTTTTCTGTCTTTCTTTTTTCTCTGTCTTTCTCGCATTATTTTTCTCGCTCTCTAATTTTCTTTTTCTCCCTCCCTCATATTTAACTCATTTTCTTTTCTGTTTTTTCATTCTATTAGATTTCCTTTCCATCCAATCTTTCTTCTTTTCGTTCCTCAAATACTTTCCCTCTCTTTCTTTTTATTTTCCTCCCCCCTCTCTCTCTCTCTCTTACTAAGGTCCACATGGGAATCTCAGTCCCCAAAAATCCATGCACGTAAAAATGTCATTAAGTAATTTGTAATAAAAACAGCCTAATTTTTAAATAATAAAGTAGTAACCTGATGCATGTGTATAGGTGTGTGCGTATGCGCGGATGCTTCCCTCAAATAACGCTTATATATTTATGCATAAATATTTAAAGTTATTTTCACACACCTATGAAAATAAATCACACACACGCGCGTGCGCACACTCACACACACATATATGTTAGATATTTGTTTGTTCTGTTGTGCTCATTGTGTTTTTGAGAATATCCGTGTATTTTTGGATTTCGGTTTTAAGATGCACTCTCATGATTAGGGAGGCATTGCTTATTAAATACCATTCTTCCGCTATGAATCTTACATTATTTAGCAGTGGAGACGGCATGTTAAAAATAGATAGTTCATCAAGAAACAAGTAAAAATTTTAAGCTTTTAATTCATTAATTTGAACAAACATTAAAAAAGTATTTTTTTTGGTTGGTCATAATGATAAGACCATGTGAGAAAAAATACTGGACAAAAATTTTAGTGTGCTCATAGGTTCAGGTGTGGAGAAATCTACTTTAGCTCATTTCCAGCATTAAATTTCAGATTTTAAAATAGCTAAGGATAAAATTTTAACAAAGTTCGAACAGGGCAGGATTTTTGAACTTCAAAGGCGAGATTTTTCGCAACGAGCCATTGCAAATGAAATTGGCCGTAGCAGAATTATCATTGTTAACTTAATTAAAACTCCGGATGCGTATGTTTTTAAAAATCAACTACATTTTCTAATTAAATATAAATGTTTCGTAAATATATTTCGATTAAAGTAACAGTATTTTATATATATTTTTAACCCTTTTGTATCTGATCTTATGATTTTGATATAATCACCATTCAAATCATATTTATTATTCTTATTTTAAACTCATTATGTATTTTATGATAGAAGATGTGTTTGGTGTGGTTTTATTTCCAAGATCTTTGAGTTTATCTTGGAATTATTTGAGTAGATGGATTCATTTGCGAATAATAATAATAATAATAATAATAATAATAATAATAATAATACGAAAAACGTTGTAGGTTCTATCGCCAAAATAAAATATTCCGAACAGATCTTAAGAAATTTTACAGGGAAATTGGAAAAACACCTATACATGTCGAAAGGCCACCATCGATTGATAATTTACAGACATTCTGGGAAAATATCTGGAGCAGCCCAAAGGAGTATAACCCAAATGCAGAGTGGATACGGCTTGAAGAAGATCGAATGCTGGATACACCTCTGCAAGAATGGGAAAATATATCCACAGATGATGTTAGGCAAGCTCTAACGAAATCCCAAAAGTGGAAATCCCCAAGAAGTGACAAGTTGCCCAATTTCTGGCTGTATCATCTCACATCTACCCATGAAATTCTTGCAAAAACATTATCAACGCTTGTAAATAATCCCTATGAAACCCCGGAATGGATTACTGAAGGTATGACATACCTCATACCAAAAACAACTGAAACAGACGACCCGAAAAATTATAGACCGATAACATGTCTCTCCACAACGTATAAGTTGATCACGTCTGTATTGACGAACCGTACTTATTCCTTTCTCGAAACAAACAGCACTCTCCCGCTGGAACAGAAGGGATGCAGAAGAGGTTCATATGGCTGCAAGGATCAACTTCTGATAAATAAAATGATCCTGGAAAATTGCAGGAGACGACGCAGGAACCTAAGTGCAGCGTGGATTGATTATCGTAAAGCCTTTGATAGTGTTCCACATTCTTGGATCCTTAAGACTTTGGAAATGTACAAAGTCTCCCCTGTGGTATTAAATTTCCTTAAGCACAGCATGGGAATGTGGAACACCAAACTATACCTTAGTCACACCGGGGGCACTGCCATATCCAACCGTCTGAGTATCCGAGGTGGAATCTTTCAAGGAGATTCTTTGTCACCCCTTCTGTTTTGTTTATCCTTAATCCCTCTTACACATGAACTGAACAACAGTAGCTATGGTTACAAAATAAATAAGAAAATATTCAATCACCTACTCTACATGGATGATCTCAAACTCTTTGCCAAAGACGACAATGAGTTGAAAGGCCTCCTCAATATTGTAAAATACTTCAGTGACGACATAGGTATGTACTTTGGATTAGATAAATGTGCAAAAGTAACTTTCAAGAAAGGTAGAATTACAGAAACACCCTTAATAGATTTAGATTTTGTCACAAAGATTAGGGAACTGGAGCATGGTGAAGCTTATAAATACCTAGGAATTAGCGAAGGAGATGGCATACAACACCCCCAAATGAAGGAAAAAATAAGAAAAGAATACTACAGGCGTGTACGTCTGGTACTAAGTACTGAGCTGAACTCAAAAAACAGGATATCAGACATAAACACATTGGCTGTCCCTGTGGTGCAATACAGCTTCAATGTCCTTAACTGGACCATAGCTGAAATTAAGCGACTGGATGCCAAAACGAGAAAGCTACTCACTTGCTATCGCATGCATCATCCCAAAGCTGATGTCGACCGTCTGTATGTGCCCAGATCCGAAGGAGGCAGAGGATTAGTTCAACTAGAACTGTCCTACAAAACTACAACAATTGGCCTCCAAAGATATTTGGAAACTACTGAAGACTGGATGATGGTATGCGTCAAGGAACATGAAAGTAGTAAGCGTCTCTACTCCGTAATGAAGGAAGCCAACAAATTCAAAATGGAGTTCCAAATAGGCGTAGAGATGCAACTACAGCACAATACACCGTCTGAAACTGCAAAATACCTAAAAAAGATAGCTAAGACGAATGCAACAGACCAGTTACAGAAGCGATGGCACGATAAACCGCTTCATGGCCAATACTCTGCCCGTACCAAACAAGCTGACGTAGAAAAAACCCGTACCCATCAGTGGCTACGTAGTGCAGGGTTGAAAGCAGGACCAATGCTTGCTAACTAGGAATTATCAAGCACATATACTAAAATATTGTGTCAGCCCAAAATGCAGATTCTGTGATAAATATCCAGAAACGATTGATCATCTTGTAGCAGGTTGTACGGTTTTGGCACCCACTGAATATAAAACCCGACATGACAGATTGGGCCAATATCTGCACTGGAAAATCTACAACTTCTACGGGAAGAAAACTGAAAGAAACTGGTATGAACACCACCCAGACCCGGTTACGGAGATAGGACCTGTTACAATTCTATGGGACTACACAATACACACTGACAGAACAATCAAGGCCAACCACTGAGATATTGTTATTAAAGACCACAAACAAAATCGGTGCCTCCTTATTGATATGACAGTCCCTGCCGACTGCAATGTATCTTTGAAGATATTCAAAAAAGTTGTCAAAGTACAAGGACCTTGAAATAGAAATCGCGAAAATGTGGCATATGGGAACATCAACAATCCCTGTTGTAGTTGGAGCTCTAGGACTGGTTGGAAAAGATTCCAGTAGACTAATTGAAGGGATTCCTGGAAGTCCATGCCTCAAGGAGATACAGAAAATTGTTCTGACAAGTACAGCCCACACCTTACGAAGGGCTTTATCTATGTAATCATTTTTTTTTTTTTTGTCAGTGGAAAGTGTCATGACGCCATTTCTAACCTTAGGTCCCTGGGCGGGACCCGGAAAGAAATGTAAAACGCCAGAAATCAAAGATAATAATAATAATAATAATAATAATAATAATAATAATAATAATGAATGTATTTATCAGGTCATCCCATAAGTTCTGTCCGAATTTTAACTTTTTGTTAAAATGAACGAAATTTAAAGAGTATTTTATAATGTCTAATGGAGCTGAACATTATTTTTATGTTTAGATGCATTTAAACTGATTAAATTTTATTTCAGAGAACAATAAAATTAAAGTTTGTTTGATTAAAACCCTGCTAACATGGAAGTACCCAAGAATCATTTGAGGCACATAATACTTTATGAGTTCAAGAAAGGAAACTCAGCAGCCGAAGCGGCTAGAAACATTCACTCAGTTTATGGAGAGGAATGTGTGAATGAAAGAACTTGCAGAAGATGGTTTTCAAAATTCACAGGTGGAGATTTCACCCTTGAAGATGAAGATCGAACCGGACGTCCAGTTGAGTTTGATGAAAAGCTTCTTGTAGCAGCCCTTGAAGAAAATCCTACTTTATCAGTTGAGGAATTGGCAGTGGTTCTCAGTTCAAACCATACAACTCTTCATCGTCATCTTCAACAACTTGGAAAACTTCCTAAACTTGGAAAATGGGTGCCTCATGAATTGTCTGAAATCAACCTCAAATCCCGAGTTGACATCTGCTCTTCTCTCCATTCTCGCCAACTTGTTTTACCTTTTTTGGATAGACTTGTAACTGGCGACGAAAAATGGATCTTTTGTCGAAATGTTAAGCGTCGTAGACAGTAGCTTGGTAAAGGGGAAGGACCCCAGCCCCAGCCGAGAAGGGAACTTCATGGGCAAAATGTTCTTCTTTCAATCTGGTGGGATCGCCAAGGAATAATCCACTTCGAATTCTTGCCATCTAATGCAACAATTAATGCTCAAATATACTGTCAGCAATTAGATCGTTTGAACCAAGCTTTGAGGGGAAAAAAGACCTGCTCTAGTGAATCGAAAAGGGGTGATGTTTTATCGGGACAATGCGCGACCCCACACAGCAAGAATCACGTCACAAAAGATCGAAGAACTTGGTTGGGAGAAAATTCCTCATCCACCTTATTCTCCCGATCTTGCTCCTTCAGACTACCATTTGTTTCGTAGCTTACAGAATAATTTGGAAGAAACAGCTTTTGTAACACAGGAAGAGATTAAAACTGACATTTGTGAGTTCTTCGAAACAAAGCCAAAAGAATTTTACAGTAATGGAATTAGTAAGCTTGTTAATAGATGGAAGGAAGTCATAGATAATGAGGGAAAATACATTGTTGATTGAATCTGTAATTAAATGTAACATTTGGTCACTTGTTTTT